TGTAGCAGGGTTCCCGAGCTTGCTGCAGTATCTATTTCCTTACTACCCAGCACTCAGGAAGTAAACATTTAAACATTTTTTTTAATAGCAGTATTTCCACTTCCGGCACCCATCCATCTCTCTCTCCTCCATGATCTAACTGCCATATCAGAATCATCATTCCCCAATGGCTTCTTTACTTTTTTAATTCAACTTACATTCCAATATGGGTGATTCTGTCTCTCCTTTCGTTCAGAAACAAGTAGTGAAATAAAGTCACAGATTCATGGTCACATGCTTCCTAAGTAGTGATATCAAGATTTGAACCCACATAGGCTCTGGGATACAGAGCCTAAATCACTTGTTAAAAACTGCATCTTTTAAGATATATTGCTTACAATTTGCCATTTTCAGTTCTTCTTTCTATGCTTCAGAGTGGTACATGCAAACCTCATGATCCTATAAATATTTTTGAAGTCAAGTTCTTCAAATATGACTGATCATATTGATCAGTTGTTGAATCACTGTTGATTTTTTACAGTATCTTATTTGTAACTGTTTTCTAACCATATTGTACTGTTTTTCATTGAATGTCCTACGCTGATCTGGGTTTTCTTGGTTTCTATTTCTCTAATTCCTTACATACAAGAGAGGCTGATGGGTAACATTACAGTTTGTAAAGCATATTTTGAAGATATAAAAGATTTGATTATTAGACATCTCTATTTCCTTCCCACGGGGAAGAAGAGGAACTTGAAGCTTCTGAAAAACAGGATTTCACTTTTATAGAGAAGTATCCAAGACCTGCTCTGAGCTCTTTCAAGCCCTGTTCCTTCTCTCATTACTTAAGTGACAATGGGCCGCATTTGAAGAGGGTCAGTGGCAGAACAAGGTTCCCCACAAGGGGATTTCGAGGTGTTCTGAAAAGCTGCCTGATATAATCTGCGAAGGAGTTAGTCATGGCAGGCTGTCACGTCTCACAGTGGGAGTCATGGGCTGGTCGGCTTGGTAAACTGTGGCTTTTGATCTATGACTGGCGCTGTGATTCCTTTAAAATACATCTTGTTTTTTCCACACCCTGTGTGTTTCTCAGCCTCAGAAGCACCTCCATGGATTTACACTAATCTTGTCTTTCAGTAATGTTACCTCCAGATTTTCAGCACCGCCCTCCCCTTTTTGATGCTGTGGATACATTCACTTCCTCAAAAAACTGAGTTAAATGCTCTCATCTGATTTGCTCCTTGAAGTTGGTGCAGGATATTTTGACGGGGCTCTGACCTCAACCCACAGTGAGAGTTTCTTTGCACCAGACAGAAGACAAGTGCCTGTCTCAGAGTGCTTGTCTCAGACTCATGCACCAGAATGTGGAACACCTATATTCACATGAAAGGAGACTCCAGGGACCTCCTCTCATGCCCTGTGATTGCGGCTCAATGCATGCCCTCTCCACATTCCTAAAGGGCATACACACACACTCAAGGGGAGAACTGAACTGAGAATTGGGGGTATGCCCCATCTCTGAGGACACAGTGGATAGCTTCTAATGAATACTGCAGTGTCAGCATTATGTCTGCAGATAATAATTGCTAGTGGGGATAAGCAGGATATTCAGAGAAAAGAGAGTGCAGAAAAATCCACCTTTGCTGGAAGAGTTAAGAACGATTCAGGCATTTTCCTTCATCAGAAAATTGTGGGAGACTGTTGAAGAAGGACGAGAAGAAAGAAAAATTGTTCAGACTCTACTTTCTCAGTTTCTGAACTGAACTTTTGCGCACAGCAGGTGAAGGCAGGCTTCCTCCCACACCAAGACTTCCTCCCTGCTGGTGTGCAGTCTGCTAAGTAAACAGAGACTTTATACTGAGAAAGGAACATTTCTCTATTTTGGCTATGAGTTGTTATTTTTAAAGCTTCATCTTCCAAACATTTTCCCTTATCCTTGTTGATTTTTTCACTGGAAAGAAAAATGTACCACATTTGCAAAATTCAGCTAGGTGACAAGGAAAACCCACTCCTAGGATGCCCTCTCCACTTAAGGCCAAGGGCCCCTTTGGCGAGAATACTATCTCATCCTCACTTTGAGCAGTATGGCTTTTAAAATTTCCCCTGTACGTCCAGATTTCCATGGTCAACATGAAATGCACACAGCACTCCTACTCTAGATGCTTCTCCCTTGACAGACCCTCATCTCTCTATTCATCAACATATACGTAACTAATACTTAAATATCATCCCTGCCAAATGCCACCTAGCATTCTAAGTATTTCACATTAAAATCACTTACTAAACTGTGTCGAACATGCCATGGCAAATGCTTCAATGTTTACACAGATGGAATTGGTGGAGACTGACATTAGATGCAGAGATTCTTCCTGGACCTTGTCTGTGGATGGCATCTCATGTCATTGCACCTATGCGCCCAATTTTCACCTCTTCATTTCAGATTCCCATTGTTTTCTTCTCTATGCCCTAATGTCGAGCACAAGACTGGTATAATAATAGAGCCTCATAATTTTGAATTAAAGAAAGGAAGACAAAGAAAATCTTTTTGTTAGGATTCTTCCTTCTAGTATGTAGGCAGTGTGGTTGGATAGGAAAGTTTAGAGTCCTAATTCTACTACTTGGACAGCAGGAAAAATAACACTCTGGAAATGAAAACCAAGAGTCCCTAGTGTATCTCAAGCCGGTGGTTTGTTCCCAAATGGTGTTGAGGACACCAACTTGCTACCTGAAAAAAGTGTTAAGCTGAATCCTATCTTAAGACTACACCAAAACAAATCCCACAAGAGGGTAGGTAGCACAGCTATGTGAATACACCAAAATCCACTACATTGTATTCTTTCAATGGGTGAATTATATGAATACATTCCAGAAAATGAATACATTCCAGAAAATCAAAAATTTAAACATAAAAGCATAGAACGTTACTGAAAGGAAACATAAGATTTATGTGTTATTGGAATGGGGACTGACCTTATCCAGCAAGACATAGTATTCTAGAGCCATAAATGAGAAGTTTGACAAATCTGATCCTACAATAATTAAATCATTTTAGGAAGAAAACGCCAGAAACAAAATTAAAAGATGACAAACCATGGGAAAACCATATTAGAAATACGTATGACATAGCACTAATTACTATCATATATAAATATCTCTTAAGAATCAGATGGAGGGCTGGGGATGTGGCTCAAGCGGTAGTATGCTCGCCTGGCATGCATGCGGCCCGGGTTCGATCCTCAGCACCACATACAAACAAAGATGTTGTGTCCGCCGAAAATTAAAAAATAAATATTAAAACATTTTTCTCTCTCTCTCTCTCAAGGTGAAAATGACCAATAACCCAACTGATAAATGTGGGCAAATTACTACAGCAGGCAGTTCAGAGGAAAATCTCATGTCAACATATTTTTCTATGGAACTGGAGGTGTACCTTAGTGGTAGACCACATGTTTAGTATGCAAAGCTCTGGGTTCAATAGCCAGAATAAGGGGAAAAAATTATTCTACCAATAGCTTATTGGTACAAGCTCTTTGAAACCAATATTTTAACTATCATAAATAAAAATATATTATGTCCTTTGTTCTAGTGATTCTAACTCTAGGAATGTATTCTGTAGCTATCTATATGTGTCCAAGGGCATAAACACAGGATTGACATTTTGTGAAATGTTTGTAACAGCACAATACTTAGAATCAAGCTAGATATCAACTAAAAAAAGAGGTGGATAAATAAATTAGTCATATACCACTTAAGAATGTTCTGGTCAACAATGGACCACATGTATAATGGTGTTCCCATAAGGTTATATTGCTTAGTGACATTGTGGCCATCTTAGTTTATCTAAACTCTATGATGATCACACAGTGACAGAATTGTCTAACAGCACATTTCTCAGAGTGTGTCCCCATCATTATGTGACAAATGATTGTATAGCATTCTGTTCAGTGATAACTGTTCAGTTGTTAAACTGGGTTAAGAAAGAACTCCAGGATCTATTAATCAAAGACAAAATGAAGTCCTGAATTATGTTTCTGCTCATGTTTAAATGTTATGTGTTTTACAAATGACTGAATATGCACAGACTCTTTTAACTTATTCCTGTGTTTTAAAATTTTCAAACATATCATGCCTTCAAATGAATGGATTCCTTCCATATATAGTATCACTCTTTATTTCTGAAACTACCCCACAGATAGGATATGGCCATGTGCATTTTTAAATATCACGTCTCATGACCTTTTGAATTTGCTTATTTAATAGTTGCAACCACGAAGGTGAAATCCTTGATGCCAAGTTTCTGTTGGAAGGGGAGAAGGCCTGAATTTCTTTTGAGGGTCTAGGGGAAGCTTCATCAGCTACACAGGCCTACTTTCCTGAATTCATTTCCTCTGTCCTCATCACCTACAGCCACCACTCTATGTTCTCTCCTGCTGCTCTCTTTCTGTGTAGGACTTTCTTCTAGTTATGCATTCACATACTTACTTGAGGAAATCCTACATTCTCTTAGGGTTAACTCAAATGTCACTTCCTAGGTACATTCTTCCCCACGGTCCTTTATAACACCAATGATCCAGCCCAGACTCATACCATAGTAAATTTCTTAGCACATTGGTATATTACTTGAAGGTCATGAGCATCTTGAGGGCAAACCCTCCCCTTTTATTCTCATAACTACTACAATATCTAGAATACAGTAACAGAACAATGAACTGTATTAGAAAAAAAATTGCCTGAATCTTAATTATTTTCAATTACCATAGATTGAAGAACTCCACATTTAATGTCATAGATTTGGCAACTAAACACATCTTTTCTAGGAATTTGAAGTGAAGATGTTTATTGATGGAAAAATCTTTGCTCATCTTGCCTTCTGGAATTCAAATGAATGTCCATGTTCCATTAAGAGGATGGGCTGCAGGTTTTTATTACAGATTTGGAGTCGGTAGCTTTTTATAAATGTAATTTGGGGTTTTGCAGAAACTTTCCTGTCCTTTAATGCTTCTAAAAATTTGTTTTTGTAGGAATCAGGGTAAATGTGTAGAGGGCATGGTGGAGATCTTTGACATGTTGCTGGCTACGTCGACCCGGTTCCGTATGATGAATCTGCAGGGAGAGGAGTTTGTGTGCCTCAAATCTATCATTTTGCTTAATTCTGGTGAGTTGATGACATGTGAGAACTTAATACTGGATTGTTGGAAAAAATATCTGTTTGTACTTTTTAGCAAGATATGATCTACCCGCTCCAAGGTCATGATGTCATAAATGGAAAGACATTATGCATGTTTAAAAATAACCCATCATCATTGTGAGTTTCTTGGGAAGCTAGAACAATGTTAGTCAAATATTAAAAGTGAAAATGATAGCAGACAATCAAATGGCCTTTTGGTTGAAACATGCACATCCTTTCGCAGATGTAGGGATTTAAAAAAATTAAAAATGATGGATGTAGGTAATATATATTCATTGAGAGTTATGCATGTCAGAAGTAAGCAGACCAAGAGGCACTAATAAGAAGTTGTGATCTGTAGGCTGAGGTGATTGCAACTCAATGGTACAGTGTGTGCTTAGCATGTGCAAAGCTCTGGGTTCCAATCCCAGGAACACCAAGAAGAAAAATTATGACCATTTCCAACTCCAGGTAATAAAGACAGTTATTTGAGACAGATCATGTTTCTGGTTAAAATTGATTAAATTAGCTTAAATAAACCAGCTACTAAAACTGAGCATCATGGAATGCAGCAGCAAGAACATTTTTCACCTGCCCATGAAGTCTACTCTTGCTGTCCCGTCCTATTTATGCACTTGAGAAAGCTTAGCTGAGAGGGGCAACGGATCGGCTTTGCTTTTCTGTCTTTCTACAGTGAGGCTGGCCGCGGCATGGAGTCACCACAGGCCACCCAGATGGCAAGGGTGGCTCAGCCTGAATTAACACCCTTACTCCTCCCAGCCCCCTTCATGTGTGGGTCAAGAACAAGGTCTATAGCCTCAGGGACTGGAATCCCTCAATTGAGTGCCACCTGCTCAGTGGATACCTTGAGTGGGGACTGAACGCCCCCCCCCAGCCCTACTTTGTGCCTCCTATGTCATTCTTATGGTGAAATCATAGTTATTTTGAAGCCTCAGGTCCAATTTAGTTCCTTCCATCATTACCTATCACAGTCTGTTTGATCAAATACAGCACTTCCTTGTCTTTCTGCATGTTCTTGTCTCTCCCTGAGGAATGCCAATCCCATCCCATCTCCCCAAACAATTTTCCACTTCTCTTGCCCCCCACCCAGTGCTAGCAACTCACTGCCTAATGATTGTCACAGTAATCATGCTCACTTATCAACTAAAAAATGGAAATCGGTACTATTACACGAGGCAAGGACTGCGTTACAGAGTGAAGTTCTCTGGAAAATACTGTGGTCTGTTCGGAGGAAGTGATTACCACCCCATTCAAGTTTCGGGTCTCACTCACAAGCATTGTGCCTATTCATTTGAGTCATTTGTCCTCTACATTGAAGGGTCCAGATCCCACAATGGCTCTTTATTGGATGAGAGTTCTGGGAGCAGTGCCACTCGGCTGCACCGTGCCAGGTCCTGAACCTGCTTCTCCTTTGGTGGAGGGCTGGCACACACACAGAGCTTTCATGTGGGAAATCTGCTAACTTCAGGGAAAGCGGGCCTAACAAGTGTTGGGACATATTTCCCTCTTTCACCAGGAAAGAGGCTGGGCGTGGTGGTGCACACCTGCAATCCCAACTCCTCCGGAGGCTGAGGCAGGAGGAGTACAAGTTTGAGACTAGCCCAGGCAACTCAGTCTATGGCTCAAAACAAAACATAAAAGGGCTAGGTGTCTATCTCAGAGGTAGAGTGCTTGCCTAGCGTGCGTGAGGCCCTACATTCTTCCCCAGCACTGAAAAATAAAACTCAAAATTCATAATCAGGGAAGGACACCCCAGACAGGAAGTGGCATTACTCAGAGTTGTAGAATCAACACCTGTGATTTGTCTACTCTTGGTAATGAAAAAATACCTCCTTTGGATCCAGATAGCCTTTTCCTGAATTTTGATTGTTTCTCTTCCTAGGACAGTGTGGGTTTTATTATTTTTTTAAACATTTGGTAAAAAAAAAAAAGAAAAAAGAAAAAAAAGTCATGATATTACCACCAAAACATTAGATTCATAGACCAAGGATTTTTAAAACCCATGGAGAAAAACTTTCAGTTATAACCCAGGGAGAAAAACTTTCAGCCCTCACTGGAACATTTTGACTCAAAGACTGGCCCTAGAACCTCAATACTGAATTTTTTATGGCGGGATTTGGCCCTTTCCATCTGACTCCTTGTCATGCAAGGTAACCTTTTATACCCTGTCCTTGTTCCTTCCTTTCTTAGTATCCTCTGTGTGCTTGCTGGCTCTTGAAGGGCTGGAACACTGTTTTGGAAATTCGAGGCCCTGTAATGTTGATAGAGTTTACAGTTTTCTTTTTCATGAGATAACAGTGCAGCAGCTTGGCAGCTTGTCTTTTCCATCAAGGACGGTGCTGCTGGCTCAAGGGAGCAGGAACAGAGCAGAAAGTAGTCTCTCAACCCTATCGCAAGTGAAACCACTCTTCTCAACACAAAAGTGAGCTGTTTTGGAAAAGCAGATCCACTGCTGTGCACAGCTCCTGATGTCTCATATTGTCCCCATCAAAGCAGAATCAAAAACAGCCTCTGAAACACAATGGTATGTTATTGGGAGCCTTTTTCTGAGTAAAGAAAGCAACCTGTCTTGGAAGAATACCACCACCAATGGTCCCCTGCCCCCCTCCCCCCGTGCACACACACAATGGAAGGGAAAGATTTTTCTAAAAACCTAACTAGTTCATGGTTTTGTTCAGGTAACATCTTACCTATCATGAGACAAATTACAAAGCTACTCCATTCCAGGAGCCTCTGACAGAAGCCACACTAGAAGTGTTCAGAAAACCTGAATTAGAAGATAGCTTCCTAGGCCTGGGCAGCAAATCCCCAGCATATGGAGGAGCCTAAGGTTTTGTGTCAAGGGCCTGTCAAAAGTCTGACAAGGCCGTGTTCACGTTGGCCCAGATTTTGGAGCAGAGGCACAAGGAGAATTGAGGGGTTACTGTGAGGACCTGCCAGGAACATCTTCCTGGAATTCTCTAAAGGCCAGAAATTCACAGCAGCTTGGGACAAGATATCCATCACGATTCTTGCCTCATTTAGAATAATTTATTGTTTTGCTTGCAAAAGACTGGAATCATATATCGGACAAGCACTGTTTTTCTGCACTGAAGGACAAAGGCGTTCCTGGTTAAACCAAAGATGCTGTAACAGAATCTGTACCAGCTTCAAGACTTCAGAGAACTAGCTGGGCTGAACTCAGGAAGAGGGTGAATAAGAACAGAGCACATGAGCTCAGGGCACAGCACTTAAAGAGCAGGAGTAGAGGAAGGTTGGGGTGTTGGAGCCGGGAGAGGAGACTGAGGAGGCAACCCTGTGCCTATCCACAGTCTTCCTTCCACCCCAGGTGACTTCCCATCTTCCCCAGGAGCGATCAGATATTTTGCATTCTTCTAGGCCTAGTTCAGATCCCTTCTTACTTGGGAAATCTTTCTAGTGCTCAGTTCAGAATGCATCTTCTTTCTCTAGTCTGTGTCAATACTGAAAAACTTACCATTTAATTAATCAATTTCATTTCTTTAATCAATAATTCCATTCACTTATTCAACAATCCAATGCTTAGTGAATCCCCACTGTGATCTTTGTGCCAAATATACCAAAATGAAATCACAGTTTTATGACTTTTCTTTTCTTTCAGCTTTTCATTTTAACCTAAGTTATTTTCTGGTTCTGTATGCATGTATTTCCTAATTCTTACATGAACTATTCATACCATTTTTGTATTCCTCATGGTCTTTAGACTGTCAACATATATTGCACCATTCAGTTGTTTAATAGATGCTTATTTGCTGAACATGGCCTGGAGAACCTTGAAAGTCTTTATTTTTTCCCCAGCATTTTCCTACCATTCTGAAATATATCATTCTTTTTTGGAGGATTATAGCTCCAGATAGTATCAAATTATTAAGAAGAAAAAGCAATGTCCCTATGCTGCTGCTGTGGGTAAGGAGGAAATGCTGTGGAAAATGTGTAAAGTAGTTCTTGGGACATAGTGTCCTCAGTTAGGAGTTACGTCCTCATTGCCCATGAGAACCTGGTCTACACGGAGTGGATTACTGTATTTTTGCAATGCAATGAAATATTGTAGTTGAAAGGCTTATGAAAGAAATGCAGGAACTTGGAGGTAAAGTAGTAGAGGCTGTGAGGGTTACCCTGAAGCTTTAAACAACTGTGCTAATTAATTATGTTTAGAAAAAGTTAGAGTGAGATTTATCTTAAGAGTAATAACTGATTGTGATTGAACTTTAGTGTTGAAAGCTTAATGAAGCTACGAGACTCAGTGCAGAATCACTGCAGCTCATTCACCAACCATCCTGTCTTCTCTTAACTTTCAGAATCCACACCCAGTCCAGAACTCCACCTTTTAAAAAAGCCTTTTTCATAACTTAGAAAAATCCATGTATCCAAGTTTTATATGCATATATCTATAATCTCTAATGAAAGTTTGCTTTGTTTGGTCTGAAATTCAATTTAATAATTATTTCCTCCCTTTTTGGAACACTTTTTGACCACAATTCTACATATTTATTCTGAAGAGCCTCATTCACTTTGCTCCTTGGAGCCTGGAGAGCTGGTCAGACTCCTGATTCCAGCTCCTGGGTGTTCGTCTCTCTGTAGGGCCTTTTTCTTCTCCTGGCCCACAAACCAACTCCAGCCACCCGGAAGTCCTCTCCATGTGCTGCTGGTTCCCCAAAACACCATTAACAGGACATCTTGTCCTGGAAGGCCTTACCTGAACTGATCTTTGGACAATATTTCTCTTTCAATTGATGGAATAATGAGGGATGAGGGCCAAAGTCCACAGACTCTTAAAAACTCAAGGTGAAATGTAAGGGAAAACAGAATGCTAGAAAGGATTATGGCAGGATTTCTAAAGTGTGTACCCTAGTGAAGCAAGGGGGGAATGTTGAACAGGAGCAGATATAGTGGACATAAGTTTAAAACTGTTAGGCTATTTTGGCTGTGTACCTGCCATCATGGTGTCC